TTAAACCTTGCACCGTCGTTTTTTCTGGGGAACCAGATTATTGCGACCTACAAAAATTCTGTTGATACGTAGGCATAAAGGCTCAACCGTTTGAGATTCAGCGCGAGTCCCGGCCTTGCTTTTTTTAATCTCCCAGCACCTCCTAAAGCAAGGACATTGCCAACAGTACGTATCAGTACCAGCCTATAATCCGAATATAACTACTCTAACGCCTTCAGATGTAGACCTGCCTCTTGTAGGCTGAACGGGAACGGGGATATGCAAATTGAACGTGAAGACTGAAATGAGAGCAGAACTGTCTGATAAGCGTCCCAGAAAATTCGCATGCGTCTTACAAATTAGCTTCCAGGTCTAGTGACTATCTGCCAGGTCGGACAGCCAATTGAGGTAGAGCGACACAGACGGGGAAGCCGTGTCAGTGATTGTCCCAGTCTTGTGCACCGGACTCCCTCTTCAGCCAGTTCAGTAAAAGCTTATTGGATGGCTTTATTTTCCTGCTATTCCGTTGTTTTGAACCTGCCTGCAATCATGCCCAACGTCCATATGCGGGCCAGTTTGTGTTCAGTCGCAGCCTGGCATTTCTATCGTCTCAGCCCTCCTGTCTTTGTGGGTCTAAATTTCAAGGAGTGTAATACTGATGGACACTGATAGCCATAAGGAAAATGAAAAAATAAGTGTGTGAAGTATTACACATACAGTAGGTGGCGTATATCATAAAATGCTACCTGACATTATGAAATATCGGTAAAGAAGAAAGATGGTTAAACACCGGAAAGATTTCTTTGTTATTCTGAGCTTTCGGACTCTTACAGGAGTCCATCGTCAGAGATAGTAAGAGGCAACAAAAGAGTGGCTGGTTATAGCGTGTGGACAAAACAGTTAAAATTTGAACGTGTAAAAATCGATAACCACGTCAGGAACGAAAGCTCAGAATAACAAAGAAATCGTTCCGGTGTTCGACCATCTTTCTTCTTTACCGATGCAAATACCTGGAACGCAAACGTTCTCCTTCATTATGAAATATGTTTACGGCTGCAAACGATTACCCGTTTTATTGGTTATCATGCAACCGAACCAATATGATGACTCTTGGATATTCCTTTTCTGACCGTCTGCAAAAACCACACTCGACTGAATGCGGATACTTAATTAGTATGAAAGCTGTCCATTGTCACGTGAGAAGTGTACAGCCTTCAGATAGGGAACCCTAAACGCAAGGTGGGGTTAAAACTTATTCGGGAATTAGAAAAAAGTTTTAACCGAAAGCCACCCTATCGAGTATAAACTTTAAAAAAGCGTGATTTCCTCCCAAAAGGTAATAAACGATATTTCATATCATAATTTTGAATTTATAAAAGCGTCTGCAATCGGTAAAAGTTCATACTGCTTAGGCATCGATTGTTATAGAGTGTAGTTTTTGTGATGATTTGAAAAAGAGCATTCAAAAGTCAACATCTTAGCGTTAATGAAATGTATCGGGATTGCACTGCGTGATAATAAGTATTATAACCCCCATCTACATAATGCTTTTTACTCGAACGAGCGTTTCGGAATCCCTGTTAACACTTCATGAGATGCCCCACTTACAGTATATATTGTTTATTGTACATAAGGCCGTTGCAGTAAGTCTTGTGATAACTCTGTTTTTATACTCCTCGTCCCTCAAACTCTCTAGCTCAGTATTATTATTATTATTATTATTATTATTATTATTATTATTATCTGATTTCCATATTCTGGTTCCTTCCCAAAGATGCGTGTTCTACTTCAAAAAAATCCGGCCATCCTTGGCGGTCACCATTTGCTGATTGAGGCCCATGAAGACACGTGGACACATTCCCGCCGGCGACGCCGAGAAGCTCTTCGCAAACAGGCTGAATCTTCCAGCCGGGCGAACTCGGAGCCTATGGAATGCCCAGCCTCCACGAGTCCTGGGTCATTTGTGGCGAACCCTGCCCCCGCCCACGTTGGTTCACTGAAGAGGCCGCATAAGACGGACCAGTCTCCAACCTTAACCACTAACGAAGATGAGACATCAACACAAACGGCGGCGGCAGCGGCAGCGGAAGAGGTGAGTACGGAGGTTGCTGCTAAACGCGCCCGTCTCCAGCGTCTCTGTGAGGAGGGGGAGGCCTGGATCGAGGAGCTGGAATCGGATGATCAGATCAGCTTGACGGCGGACCACACGGACGTCCTTACCACAGCCGCCTCGGAATTGCCACCTCTCTTGCGCGCAAATGTCTATGTGGAATCAGAGCTGCATGGATGCGGCGGTGAGGAAGACGAGGAGGAATTTGTGTCAAGCGAAACGCCTGATGGGGCAGAGGATGCGAGTGGTGCTCATGACCCGGCTAATGGCAAACTAATTGTGAAAATAGAGTGGCTCGATGGCAAGGACAGAGAGGTCGCTAACCGAATCCTTTTTTATCTTAAAAACAAACTTAAATGAGCATTTATTTTTGTAATAAGAAGTCTTCTGTCCTCTTCGACGACTGCTGCCTGCACCTGACTACCAATTATGCGCTGAATGTGGACTTAAAGCCGTAGTTCTCATGTCATAGATTTATTAGCTGCAGTTTGCCGGAGGTGGCAAGTTCCTTTGAGTTCGGCCTGTTTGTAAATTAAGAAAGTCGTAGCTGTTTGGTGGAAACCCAATTATGCATTTCTTGCGCAGAACTCGAAATATTTTCTGGGAGTCGTTAGAC